ATGATCTGAAGGTTCTGAGTTTGTATATCAGAAAGGACATGTCTATTTCATGAGAGAGCACAGTGTTGGAGACAGGGAGGGCTGGGTTCTTTCTCAGAGTTACTAGTTGGGTGGTCTTGGGAAAATTACTAAACCTTCCTAAGTGACAGTTGCCTAGTTTAAAATAAGGAAAATACTTTGTAAGGCTCTTGTACTTTTAAAATGAGATGATATGTATTAAGTGCTTATAATGCCTGACAGTTAGTACACATTCAGCAATCAGTCAGTGTAACACTGGGTAATTATGGTACCAGTTTACCTTCTTAGCCTTGTCTCATTTCCTTCCAACATGAAAACTCTCCATAAATCCACAGTATTTATGCTCATTGTTCTTAAATATATGCTGTGCTTTCCACCTTCTTTCTTCTCCACATGCCCCCCTTTTTCTCTTTTTTCCATCTTTCTTTTATGTGTGGCTCTGTTCAAGTCCTCATTTCGTCTCAGTAAGAAAGTTCCTTTATGCCATCCGTTTTGGCACTTAGAATTTTAGTAGTTTTCTTTGTATTTATATGCTATCTTTGATAAAGTAGTTTATTAGAGGACAAAGGGGACTGACTTGAGGAAAAGGCAATTTAGTAGAAGGAATATTGGGCTTGGAGTCAGAAATTCTTGGTCCTAGCCTAGCACCAGCTATTGCTTTTTGTGTGACATTGGGTAAGATTCTGAATGTGTTGTTTTTATATAAAATGGAGGTAACACTATAGGACTTTGGTGAGGATCAGATGATATATGTGTATGAAAGAAAGGGCTATGTAAACTGTTTAAAGTATGATTGCTTTTGTGTATGTCTTGAACCTTATATCATGCTTTTCACATAGAATGGCTTAATATGTTAAGGATAATGATTGTTTTAGACAGTTTTTTCAGATTTTCCTGGACTCAAAAGACATGTAATTTTTTTATACATTTAAAAAATTATAATCAACACATTGTGATGAAGTATTACAGCTATCCTTTGATTTTGTTCAAGTGTAATTTAGTATTCAGTGATTATTCTTGATTCCAATAAAATGTTCAGTTTTATTATACTGTGGTATAATTTATTAGATTTCAAATTCTTTTTATTCAGTTAAGTAAAAAATATATCTCCTTGCTTAATCACAACTGATGATCTCTTTGCCCTAGCAACTAATTCTAAAGAGTGATTTGAGAGGTTTCTGTTCAAAAGTATACAATATGGAAATTGGCCCAGCTGTCAACCTTTTTTTAAAAAAATCCTTAGATTAGTATTAAGAAAGAGGGAGAAAATGTACAGAGACTTAAAAATATAGTTTGTTCTTCCAAATCGTCTCAGCTTTCATCCCTTCAATGTCATAAAACTTGATGTTTAAGTGAACTGTTGTGCATAAATAGACCCTGGATGCAAAGTTGTGACCCAGTAGGTCTAGTGAAAAATTATACAGGTTTTGCCTCTCTTCATTTAGGAGTCCTGTGTTATTAGTTTGTTTTAGTTATGTGCCTTGATTCTTTGCAGTGAAAGAAAATTTTCTCTAAACAAAGTTTCACTAGTAAATAAGCTTTGATGGAAAACATTTTTAAGGGGAATCTATCAGAATTTGACAAAACCAAGTTTTATTAAGCGACTGTATGGTTTTTCAAAAATGTGTTGTAATTAGATGCTAACTCTATTTTCTAGATATGTATTTTAACCTTCTTTTCTTTTTTCAATTATAAAGAGAAATTGAACACCCATATAAAGTTTATATGTTCAGTTTTTTTCAGAAATAAAGATTAGATGACTAATTTTTTATGTTATTAAGTTACGGATAATTAGGACTGTTCAACATAAAATTCTTACTTATCAAGAGAATGAGAAGACAATATTTTCACCACAGATTGGGAGAAAATATTTGCAAATGGCATACTGATAAAAGATGATTATCCAAAATATACAAAGAACTCTTAATACTCAACAATAAGAAAATGAACAACCTGATAAAAAATGAGCACAAGACTTGAATATACACCTCACCAAAGAGAATATACAGTGTCTTAATCAGCTGGGGCTGCTATAACAAAATACCATAGACTGGGTGGCTTGAACAACAGACATTTATTTCTCATAATTCTGGAGGCTGGGAAGTCCAAGATCAAGGTACTGGTAGATTCTGTTCATAGTGAGGGCCCTCTTACTGGCCTGGAAGATGGCTGTCTTCTTGCTTTATCCTCACGTGATAGAGATTGAGACAGATCTGGTTTTTCTTCCTCTTTTTATAAGGACATTAATACCATGATGGAGGCTCCACCCTCATGACTTCATGTAAATCTAATTACCTTTCAAAGGCCCCACTTCCAAATACCATCACACTGGGAGTTAGGGTTTCAACATACGAATTTTTGGAGAACACAAACATTCAGTCTATAACATGCAGATGGCAAGTAAGGATATAAAACATGCTCAACATCATCTATCATTATGTCAGGTTTTATTCTGAAATGTCAGTTCTTGGCACGCCCATGGCTGAAGAATCACCAGACATGTCAAAGTTAGGCAAGCATGAAAATGAGGTTTATCGAGGAGAGAAAGATAGGATTATAGGGCAAGAGCAAGATATAGGTTTACAGAGTGTGATACCTAGGCCACAGATGACGACCAGACCCATTGTCTCAGCAAAGGGAGAGGAAAGGGAAGGACACAGAAAGGGCCTGGTTATGGTCAGCATCTTGTTTTTTAGTGCCCGGATTGGGACCTCCCTCGTGGCTCAGACGTCACCATGGGACCACTTTGATTGGACAGTTGGGAGTTGCATGACCTGAGTCTCTGAAAGCCCATGGTGGGGGTGAATTTTAGCAGCATCCACTTTCATCCCTAGGAAACCCTCGGAATCCCTCACTATCTACCTAACAATTAGGGAATTACAAATTAAAACAATCATGAGATACCACTACATACCTAGTAGAGTGTTAAAAACCCAAAACACTGACAACAAATGCTGGGGAGAATGTGGAACAACAGGAACTATCATTCAGTCATGGTGGGAATGCAAAATGGTTTTGAAAGACAGTTTGACAGTTTGTTACAAAAGTAAACATACTCTTACAATATGATCCAGCAATTGCACTCTTTGTATTTATCCGAGTGAGTTGAAAACTTACCTCCATACAAAAAGCTGCACATGGATGTTTATAGAAACTTTATTCGTAATTGTCATAACTTGTAAGTAACCAAGATATCCTTTAGTAGGTGAATGGATAAATAAACATCCAGACGGTGGAATATTATTCAGTGCTAAAAAGAAATGATCAATGAAGCCATGAAAAAGATGTAGAACCCTAAATGCGTATTACTAAGTGAAAGAAGCTTATCTGAAGTGGCTACGTATTGTATGAGTCCAACTATATGACATTCTGGAAAAGGCATAACTATGGAGACAATGAAAAGATTAGTCATTGTCAGGAGTTAGCAGGGAGAGAGGGATGAGGATTTTTAGTATACAGAGGATTTTTACAGCAGTGGGACTATTCTGTATTATATTATAGTGGTAGATAGATGTCATTATACATTTGCCAAAACCCGTAGAATATACATCACCAAGAGTGAACCCTAATGTAAACTCTGGATGTTGGGTGATGATGTGTCAGTGTAGGTTCATCGATTATAACAAGTGTACCACTGTGGTATGAGATGTTGACAGTGGGGGAAGTTGTGCATGTGTGTGGGGCAGAGGATATATGGGAAGTCTATACTTTCTGTTCAATTTTGCTGTGATCCTAAAAGTATAAAAAATAAAGTCTATGTACAGATTTTCATGTTCATAATATGAAATCTAGTTATCAGGCCAAGTCTTCTGACATCAACCAGTACACTGCAATTCAGTTCTGATACTAAGCACCCTGTATCAAACTCCACAGGTTTAAGGGCATAGTACCCAACAAGACTGCCCGTGCTTCAGACACCAACTGCAAGTCAAGTCCCCAGGCCACTCACCCTTCTTTCCAACTGGCTTCAAATCCCAGGAGTTTGTTCCCAAGACCCTCCTTGCTATCTCCCCATGAGACTTGCTTCACCGCAGATGCTGGTCGCAAGTTTGGGGATCTCCAGGTCATCCACACTTCTGACCAACTGGCTGTGTATTCAGCGGGGGTTCGTGGAAGAGATACATATGGTGGGGTTTGGGAGATTCCTCAACGCAGAGCTTTCATGCCTTTTCCCTGTATATGCAGAGCACATCACCTTCCTGGCACATGGATAAGTTCACCAGCCAGAAGGCTCTCCTTCACTTCATTGTTCAGAGTTTTTATTGGAACTTCATGATGTAGGCATGATTGATTGAACATTAGCTAACTGGTTGAACAAAATTTCCAGGGCTGGGCCAAAGCCCCTAATCATACCATTTGTCTTTCTGGTGACCAGCTGCCTTCCTGAGCCCTCTCTGATGTGAATCAAGGGGCTTATGAATAACAAAGATACTCCTGTCACCTGGGAAATTCCAAGGGTAAAAACTTCCTGCCAGGAACCCAAGATAAAGACAAGAAATATTCAACACCAGGTTTTGCGAAAATAGTAGCCTTTGACAACCTAATAGTTTATTTTTTTTTGTATTTGAAAGTCTACCATGGAAAGCTGAGGTGACTGAAAAGTATTTAAGATCGAAAGATTTAAGAGGAAATGCTGATTTATTTATTATCTAGTATTTTAATAGTTTAGACTTTATAGCTATTTAAATCTTTATACATCATGCAGTTTTGAATTTTATGATTTTATGCATAAATGTATTTCTTTTGGTAAAAAGGAGGGAGGACTTTACTTGGAAAAGTCAACCAGTAGAACAACAGAGGAATGACCCTTTATAGTTTTTACTACCTCACACTGTCTAAATAAACAGATGACCTTAAAAACAGTTTTTGTCTGGGCTTTAGCTTGCTCCGTTGGACTTATTTTCCCTTTTAATAGCCAGGTATTTCAGAGCGTTTTAGGTCTCTACTTCGTCCAAGGAAATGCTTATATTTTTTTCTTGCAGATTGATTATACCGGAACAGAGCCTTCCAGTCCCTGCAATAAATGTTTGTCTCCTGAAGTGACACCTTGCATTTGTACCATTGACTTCACACTGGAAAAGTCATTTGAGGTCTGTGTTTTCAAGTAATGTGTTAGAAAAAAACATGCTTTTGAAAATACTGACATTGTACTAAATGTTTTTTACTAGGTGTTTTCTTTTTGTAGAGAAGTCACTTTAATTTATTGGAATCCATATACTTTTGAGGAAGATCGTTTTATGTTTGGCTGTTGTGTTTTGCTGTCTGCTAATTAAATGTATTTGAATGGTTTACTTTAGTTAGTACTTTGTATATAAAATTGAAGACATCATATTTTACCCTTTCACTGGAATATTTTATAACTGTACAAATCAATTTTGTATCGAGTTTAAATCTATATGTACTGTATTTTTTAAATTATTGCTCAAATTGTTTTATGTACTTTTAATGCTAAAACAAATTTTACTTTAGAAAATAAATACTAATTTTCCCATCATTGAATTGAATTTTTTCATTCTCCCTTCGATAGCTCAGCTGGTAGAACGGATGACTGTAGTACCATCCATAATTGAATTTTTATGAGATATGAAGAATTAAAAAAAATGCAAACACTTATTAAAACCTTACTGATTTTATTTTGATACGTAGTTAGAAATCCATCTGTGTGTGCATGTGTGTATGTCTTTTGTGTTCACGCTGATCTGCCGTTCTTCTTGGTAACTGAGCATATGCTAAAGGACATAAAGATTCAGAATAGGCATGAAAAGACCAGTTTGTACTCTCCTCTACCTGAAAATTGTTCTTCGGGGAGCAAAACTGCTTTAATACATACCAACTTTTTAGATTTTCTACTCTTGAGATTTTCTAAAGGCAGTGATGACTTTGTTAGTCTCTGGTAGATGGTTGCCATCTTGTGGCTGTAGGTGCTCTTGCACGGAGCTAAAAGGCAGGATAATGCTGCCTTTGGGAAAAACCATGGAAACAAATTTGGTAGAAGACAGAAATTTAATTATTTAACTTTATTTCAGCAGAGATTAAAAAAAATGTAAAGCATCTTTAAAAGTCCATTGTTTTTCAATGTGATGGGACTCTAAAGATGCAGTAAGTTTTGCTTTTGTCAAAAAAGGCAAAATTGAAGTAATGAGGTACTTGTAATGACTTAGCAGCTCCATTAGTCCCCTCCCCTATTCAAAAAACACTGATTCCAAAAATTCCCTTCTGTAGAGGTGATCAGCCTCAGATTCTTTCTCTTGTGAGTTCTATGTTTCTTCAAAAGCCTAAACTTTAAATTGGGCTAAAGTCTTTTCAGGGAACTTCAAGCAGGTTATTTTAACTCAGAATTCATTGAAGGGATTGTTTTTTCAATTTGCAAATTGAATTTACTGTATGGATTCTTAATTGAGATAATACTTTTTTTAAAAAGCATATTCATTGTCTCTGTGTGATGTAATTGTGATACTCCCTGCCCTCCCCAAAAAAGGTTTCCATGTAAACATTTCCTTAATATAGAGTGGGAAAATTGGCATGGTTTGACACTTGAAAATCAAGCTTTAAGTAAATGGTACTATGAAGGTAGCAAGTCAAAGCATACTTGTAATGTTACTGAATTCCTTTTAATTGAGGATAAGAATATAGAAAATAGAGGTTGCAACCAGAAAGGAGAAAATAGCTTAAAGTTTTTGCTACCTCAAAAAATTTTAGTCATTCGGGATGGCTTCTTAGCATCTTCTAAATAATTGTAGGATATGTATGTTACCCTTCTTTCCCAAGTTATTTTGAAGTTGGCTCCACTAAATAAATACATTAAAGTACTTTTCTTGATTATTATAAAGTGACTCATTATCTTAGATACTTTACTAATTACTAGTTTAATTGCTAATATTATATAGTGTCCTATTGAGAAATTTATTATATCCCAGTTCAAGTTCAGAATTTACTTAGACAAAAAATGAAAGTTTGATTATTATCCTTCTGAAAAGTTGGTGCTACTTGGGTGAAGATCAGTCTGAATTGGAGAAAATTTTAAATTGAAAGTAGCTCAGAGTAGGCTAATAGATTGAATGAAGATTGGTTTTTTTGTTTGTTTTTTGAGACAGGGTCTTGCTCTGTTGCCTGGGCTAGAGTGAAGTGGCGTTAAAATAGCTCACTGCAACCTCAAACTTCTAGCAATGGGCGATCCTCCTGTCTCAGCCTCCCAAGTAGCTGGGATTACAGGGGCATGCCACCATGCCTGGCTAATTTTTCTACTTTCTCTAGAGATGGAGTCTCCCTCTTGCTCAGTCTGGTCTTGAACTCCTGGCCTCAAGCAATCCTCTCCCCTTGGCCTTCCAAAATGCTAGGATTACAGGCATGAGCCACTGTGCCAGGCCAGAAGGTTGTTTTTTCAGTGTAAATAGTACTTGTTTGAAGTCATTAAGGGTAGTTCCAGAGTTTACTTTTGAATTTTTGTGACATACCTTCTTTAACCTTATTTACAATTGTACCATTTTAGATTGCTAAGTGCTGACAGAATTCACCACACCTGTCATCACAAATTGTAATCTAGTAAAGTCTAAATTACATAGCTTTTATGTATACATGAAACAAGTTTATACATAATAGTTTTTATATGAAAATTTTTTCTCTCCATTTCTCTAGGGCAATGTGTTTATGTATTATGGACTGTCTAATTTCTATCAAAACCATCGTCGTTATGTGAAATCTCGAGATGATAGTCAACTAAATGGAGATTCTAGTGCTTTGCTTGTAAGTAAAATTATGAAATAGGAAAATGTGTTATCTGTAAAATAAGAACATGTAGTAACTGTTCAGTTAGAATTGTTAAAGTATTTTATGTTAGGATGAAATTAAAGTGTTACTTGTCATTAATAGTTTGTATAGTGAGGGTTTGTAGTTAAAATATTTTTTTCCTGGAATTTGCACAGATAATGACTTCCTGCAGCCAGAGGACGCATTACTACCTGCTTGTTTCTAGTAGTGTCATTGGGATTTTTTCTTCATTAATTTGTTTGTAATAGAATTTTGATGAGTCTAACATTCTGGGTGTGTAAATATGATCTGCTTGAGTTTATTCATTATTACTGCACTAGGTAGAAGAATATGTAAACTAGCTGCTTTTAATTTTTGGGGTTGTGTTTTAAAATTGAACATACCTCCCCATTGTGGGAAACCTGAGCAGTAAAGTTCAAAAGGTGGATTACTGAAAAACTGTCTGAAGAGCTTTTTGAAAAAATTGATTCCAGAATTCCTTTAAGTCTAATATGTCAGTATTTGTAAGGAGGAAGCTCTATAATATCTGTTTTTAATAAGCTCCCCTTTTGATGCCCAGGTTTGGGAATCTGTGGACTAGGGGATCTTAGTTTCTTGACTGTTGTTCAACTTTCCATAGTAGTGGTTAGTATCTAAGTATTTTGTATTTTTGTTGCCAATGCAGTGAACAGATGATCTGAGCTATGCATAATCCTCCCATCTTATCACATGCTATTTCTCACTCTTGTCATGCTCCAGCTGCATTAAACTTTACTTCCTCAGGAGTAACAATTTCTTTCTTAGTGGCATGTGGTGTTCTCTTTGCTTAAAACTCTCTTCTGCCTGCTCTTCACACAGCTGGCTCCTACCCTTTTTTAGGTCTTACATGATACTTCCTCCAGAGTCAAGCTTTTCATTACCATAGATTCTAAAGCAGCTCTTCCTACCCTGTCCCCATTAACCCTTACACAGCATATTTATAACATTGTGATTTGTAATTATATATTTGTTTAGTTATTTATTATCTGTCTTTGCAACTATGCTGTAAGCTCTTGAGAGCAGGGAGCATGACTTTTCTTTAATCGCTATTTACCAAGCACCTCCCTGGTGCTTAGTACATGGAAGGCATGTGATAAATATTTATTGAATGAATATAGACATCTTTATCATGGCTCTTATTTTGTATTATAGTTGGTTATGTATTGATCTATTTCCTCTGTACATTGTGAGTTGCATAAAAGCAAGGATTGATTCTGTTTCTCATATCTTGCGTGATACGTAGTACATATTAGGTACTTATTAAATAGCTTTCCTAAGCCAGTTAATGCAAAGTACCTAGCATTGTTTGTTTTAGTACCTGACACACAGGCAGTAAATAATATTTTTCTTTCTTTGAA